TTTGTAGCAACGCATTTCAATATTACAAATACATTGCACCGTAACATTACTGTAATCTTACATTGTAATATTTCTAAGGGCGGACATTTCAACATTGCCGCAGGCTTGCAGTAACATTGCAGAAACATTTCGCAACTTCTATGCAATATTACAATGTTTCAATGCAAGGTCTATGCAAAGTTTCTGCAATCTTTCGGTGCTGTATGGGCGGCATGTAATATTGCTGAAATACTGTAATGTTCGGAAATGGTACAGAAAGTAATATTTCAAATGGAATATTGCAGCAATTATCAGAAATATTACATGCCGAGTGGGTATCTTATTACATAATCATCAAACAATAAAAAAAGAGAACGAAATAGCCGATATGAAAAAAATATATATAATTGCATCTTTCTCACCCGGTTTGTACACTATACATTCGGAGTACGTTATTTTGACTCACGAATGAACGATCGGTGTATTATGTCATTTATTTTATAAATTCCATTTAAATTTACTAAGTAATGTGTGAGTTGTGTTATTATTATTTTACACTTAATTAAACGACAATTATCGAGTTAATCAAAATAATTGTAACACTACAAGTTTACTTAGTTTACGAATGAAATACTTGCGAAAGAATACTATCTGCACAAATTACACTCCTATTCGCATTATTAAATTAATTATACATTATATTTATATAAACCCAAAATGTTCATTTGAATTTCGCATTTGAAAGAATTTTCTAAAAGATTGAATTGATCTTATCATATTATTTCAATATTATCAACTGCATTATACCGAAAAAAATGATAGAACTGATAAAACTGATCAAATTGACACATACATAAGACTTTTTATTAATTTAACGATTTTCCAACGAAATTAATAATTAGAAAAGTTGTTCAAGGAAAATGCATTGCCAGGGACATAAAAATTTTTACATTTTACTGATAAAATCATAATAATCATTTAATGATTTAAATCTTACTTATTTAAAAGTTATTTACTAAAAATTATAGCAAAATACTTTTACCTAACTTAAAATCTTCCAGTTTTATTTTTTTTTATTTTTTGAAATTAATTTTATGAGGTATTCATGATCAAAAACTTTTGTCATAAATTATGAAAAATATTAATTACAACTATGAAGACATTAAAAATCATATTATTTTGTGATACTTCAATTTTTTTTTATCCGGATCTATTTATTTGATTTTCCAAGCAATATAAACATAAGAAATGTTTTTTTTTTTTAAGTTTTGATAGTTTCATACTACTATTATACAGCCCAAAATCCTCGAAAGAGAGAGCAGAAGTGAATATTATTTTTATTATTCATAATATTGCTGTATGTTTATTGTGTTACATTATTTTCTTTTTCTTTCCTTCCCTATATTCTTATTTTTATGTGCATAATTCTTGTCACCTTAGCACTGTTTCTTTTGTTGTTTCCATATTGATATTCTTTCTTTCAAATCGGGCACTGCAATTTCGAAAATAAATATTAATTCCAGATATATTTCTACATGGATAAAAAAACTTACAATAGTTTATATACATATTTTAAAATCGGCATAAGATATTAAAAAATTTCAATACGATATACTTTAAAACAGTCAAAAACTATATTTTCTATGACGCATCAAATATTTTTCTAATATATTTATGTATATGAAAATGCATTGTTATGAAATGTTACTAATATTTAGACTAAAAGAAAGTTGATCTTTATCAAAAAAGAGAAAAATATGAACAATACATGTATTACTTACTTGGCACGAGCATATCTTCGGGCATAAGCGGCTGCAGATTGAAAGGATCCGTGGCACTGTTGAGTAAATGTCTAATAATAAGTCCTTTGTCCACAACAATACCAGACGGTAGCTTGACTGGATCCTCCATAAGAGTGTCCACCAATGGATTCCGAAATTCCACAGGAGCTCTACGCGCGCGATTGTCTCCTGCGATTACCGCCGCACGCTCAGCGAGAGCTACAAAACTCTCAATTTCCGTCGTAGTTTTAATGCCGGATCACTCTAATTCATCCGCAGCGTCGGTGAATAACTTGTTACCAAACCAAAGCTGCAAAAATGAATTTATATATACATATATATACGTTACTACTGCAGTGCACTTATTTTCATTAAACAACGGTACACATCTATCATGCATCCAACAAGCGACCCAATTCATGTTTAAGCACAAAACGTAATGAAAATTCTTACATCGAGTTATTTCTGTACAGAAATTCACACTCTAGACAGACACAATGATTCTCAAAATATCACAAGCTCAATTACGCCAATATCTATCAATATTAATATAATTTTTATTAACACCATTTGACTTTCCTACCCATTTCGCAAGTAAAGAAACAATGTGAAAAAATACTACAGTATCACTTACTTGTTCTTGAGATCTTCGTTATCATCCCGCAAGCGTTTGATATTGAGCTCGAGCTTGACGCGTTCCGTGTCCGCCTCGTCGAACAGCTTCCGCTTGTTAAAGAATCCGGCCTCGATGTTGGACATTTCCCGATTGAAAGTTTCCTGGGTGGTTTGCACCTCCCGCTTCAACCGCGAGTTCTCCGAATCGAGATAACGTATCGTTTCGATGTACGATGCTGGACGATCGTTGAGATTGAGTAGGTTGCCTGGCCATCGATCGACGATCGGCGTCAACGTGCTCGGCGGCGATTGCATGATATTCCATGACGATGAGGCGGTGGTTGTCGTGGAGGACGGGACGGTTGTCGCGGAGGACGGGACAGTTGTCGCGGAGGACGGGACGATTGTCGCGGAGGACGGAACGGTTGTCGCGGAGGACGGGACGATTGTCGCGGAGGACGGAACGGTTGTCGCGGAGGACGGGACGATTGTCGCGGAGGACGGAACGGTTGTCGCGGAGGACGGGACGATTGTCGCGGAGGACGGAACGGTTGTCGCGGAGGACGGGACGATTGTCGCGGAGGACGGAACGGTTGTCGCGGAGGACGGGACGATTGTCGCGGAGGACGGAACGGTTGTCGCGGAGGACGGGACGATTGTCGCGGAGGACGGAACGGTTGTCGCGGAGGACGGGACGATTGTCGCGGAGGACGGAACGGTTGTCGCGGAGGACGGGACGATTGTCGCGGAGGACGGAACGGTTGTCGCGGAGGACGGGACGATTGTCGCGGAGGACGGAACGGTTGTCGCGGAGGACGGGACGATTGTCGCGGAGGACGGAACGGTTGTCGCGGAGGACGGGACGATTGTCGCGGAGGACGGAACGGTTGTCGCGGAGGACGGGACGATTGTCGCGGAGGACGGAACGGTTGTCGCGGAGGACGGGACGATTGTCGCGGAGGACGGAACGGTTGTCGCGGAGGACGGGACGATTGTCGCGGAGGACGGAACGGTTGTCGCGGAGGACGGGACGATTGTCGCGGAGGACGGAACGGTTGTCGCGGAGGACGGGACGATTGTCGCGGAGGACGGAACGGTTGTCGCGGAGGACGGGACGATTGTCGCGGAGGACGGAACGGTTGTCGCGGAGGACGGGACGATTGTCGCGGAGGACGGAACGGTTGTCGCGGAGGACGGGACGATTGTCGCGGAGGACGGAACGGTTGTCGCGGAGGACGGGACGATTGTCGCGGAGGACGGAACGGTTGTCGCGGAGGACGGGACGATTGTCGCGGAGGACGGAACGGTTGTCGCGGAGGACGGGACGATTGTCGCGGAGGACGGAACGGTTGTCGCGGAGGACGGGACGATTGTCGCGGAGGACGGAACGGTTGTCGCGGAGGACGGGACGATTGTCGCGGAGGACGGAACGGTTGTCGCGGAGGACGGGACGATTGTCGCGGAGGACGGGACGGTTATCGAGAAGGACGGGACGGTTATCGAGAAGGACGGGACGGTTGTCGCGGAGGACGGAACGGTTGTCGCGGAGGACGGAACGGTTGTTGCGGAGGACGGGACGGTTGTCGCGGAGGACGTGGCGGCCGCCATATTCTCCTTAGGAATCGTTGCGTCG